CACACACACACACACCACACCCACCCACACCCACACACACACACACATACACACACACACACCCACACCCACACACACAAAAGATTCGCACACATACATACTGAAGAAGCAAGGCCTGACCTGGCCAAGCACTGACAACACATTTTCTCTTCACTTTTTCAACCTATAACAAACACCACAACACTGCTATGGTCCATGCAGCGACTTTCCCGAGACACAAAATGGGGAATCGCCGTCCAAGCTCAATTTCTCTTGCACCGGCATGACAGTAAGTCCCCCACTGAGGTCAATGGTCTTTCCTTCCTTGTCCTGGGGAGGAAATAAAAATGCACATTTTTTCTCTGTTTCACCTTGTCCGTAATGTCATGTTATAAATCATTGTGGGTCAAAGACAGAGAAAAAAGTTGACCAGACCATAAATAATTTATTTATAGAGGCACCAGCCATCCATGTCCAGGTGCTGTTTTAGCCTGTAGACCAAGATCTATGATTTATTTATAGAGGCACCAGCCATCCATGTCCAGGTGCTGTTTTAGCCTCTTTTTCCTGTATTGGGATTAATAATATCTTTTTGCCAATTTATTGGTTGAAAAAAGTTGAAATAACAATAAAAGTGTAATGTTCATCATTATGTAGATCTCTATAAATATACATAAACATAGAGTAATGATAGTAGTAAATGCAGGCCAGACTAGTACTTCCTTGATTATAGTATATAATATAAAGTAGAAATACTTTGAAGCAGAATCAGGAGGTGTGGGGGGAGGGGGGGGATCAAATTTTCTACCTGTTTGAGGAGTAACATTTTCCTTCCACCCAGAATTGTGAACACACTTCTGAGATCTTTTTTTTTTCAAGCACATTACCCTATAAAACAAACAAAGTTAGGGAATTTGAACAATATTACTCCAGTTCTGACTTAATATTTTCCTTTCATTGCTCTCATCTTTAGATTCAAATGTGACAAATGACAGTTATCTTGCTTGTGTTGGTATCTTCCACGGTTTATCAGTCAAATTCCAATAGCTCAGTTAATGTCATCATGGCTATGGTGGCCTTGTGGTTAGGCTCTTGGACTGGCAACTGTAAGGTCATGGGTTTGAATCCCATCAGGGGCTCAACACTGTCTTTGAGAAAGGCACTTTACACAAATTTTTCTCACTTCCCCCAGGTAAAAATGGGTACCTGACTATAGACTTGTCAGTTTATCAGTGTTTGAGCGCTTCTCCTGAGACATCCCAATATTCCAATGGACATTTTGTAGGCAAAACTCAAATATAAATGCAGTATGTTTATCCCAGCATACACCTACAAATTACAAACTTAAAGGCCCTTGACAAAAACACAGGAGAGGAAACTGACCGTCTGGGAGATGAAATGTCTCAGTCACCTGGACAAGACCAGGGGAGACAAAATTGGGAACGAGTGGGTCACACATACAGTTGGAACAACGCCAGACCTCCGCCATATCGAACAATTGAGAGTAAAATGGTTCAGACATCTCTCATGAATGCTCCAAAACCAAGCAGCTCTCTGAGCCTAAAAGGGAAGACACTATGGGTGGTGAAGCAGATGCAGACCAAGACATAGCTGGATTGACTCTGTCAAGGAAACCCTGGTCCATCATGATGAGCAGGCCTCTAGTTTCTCTTTGTCTGCAGTTTCATTCCGAGTTCACTAAACTTGTTTGTCTTCACTTGCAGAGCGTATAAACAACTTTACTTATTCATTATGGAAAAACCTAGAGTAGGAAATCATTCTAAATGATGCATTTCAGTTGCATCTAAATACGAAAAGCTGTTTGAAAATAAAAACTGCACTTCCTTAACAGATATCTACTTTATGATGAAAATATCAAAGACAAGACTATCCGAAGAATGTTGAAGTTTTAAAACGTACTAGGCACAGAAACAGTTACATTGATGGCATTCTCTGTGTAAAATGATGGTGATTACTATGTCAACATCTATAGCTGTCATGATGAAAAGTGTCAGTCAGTGGTGAACTTGAAGATTTGAAAATGATGATGCACAGCAGTGAAAAGCATAAAAAAACACCCCAAAAATTGGAACAAACAAAATCAATCATGTTACTCATAAAGTTAATTCAAAAGTGATCCTTTCATTTTGTTTCCTAAATTAGTCATTACCAAAAATGTGTTCTGTACAAAATTACAGTTATATGGTCGGAAGGCAAACACACTTTTAATTCTTTCTGTTTTTTATCTGAAGAGCTGGTAGGCTGTACATAGCACCCTCCATGAAAAAATCTGGAACTTGATTCTCGGTAAATACAACCTGTTACATGTTTCAGCACACATAAGCACATAAACATTAATGAGACTTCCATACAAAATGTAAGAAAAGAACAAAAACAGAATCGTGCATTGACATCAAGTCTAAAGTCACACATCCTGTCACGTTGTCATTCCAGAAAAATACCTTTATACAGCTATCTTGCACAATGACAGTCTGAGATACATTTACCAAACTTTTGAATTTCTGAAAAGAGCAAACAGAGGGCACATATTTCTTTTAGCTCCAGATTTCTATTCCACAATTCCAACAGCATTCAAAAGTGGAAGGCGTACTTTGGCAAAATTTAAAATGAATAAATTACATCCTAAAACTTTTTAGTTAATTAAATAAGGCTGATGCAAACAGATAAAATTAAACTATCATTCTCTCTTTTGAACATTTTCAACATTGCAGAATATGGATTAAAATTTGGACCTACTGAGCTACCAATACTTCTCTGTAACACCAGTTTCTGGCCGCAAATTTGTGAGGCAGCGTGGTGGAATCAGGCTCTCGTCAATTTTTGGGCATATAGAGTTATTAGTACCATCTTAAAGCTTGTTCACTTGTCTTTATTTGGATGAAAAAATATCACTTTATCTTGAATACAAGTCGAGATATTTGTGAATGAAGGAGGTGGGGGTCACCTGTTTTCAGAGATAAGTTTTCAGAGATAAAATTAGTGAGAGAATGGCTGCCAAAGATTAGTTATTTCCTTAGCTTAAGAGTCCGTGGTAACTGAAAATTTACATTTTTTGTGCCTTTAATCAACGTTTTTCAGAAAAATCCACACAGAAATGAGTTCTTTAATGGGCAGGAAAGGAGTGGAGCAAAAAAGCAAAAATTTGAAAAAAATTCACAAACCAGCAGAAAAATGCAAGTTTCTACACTATGATTATTTTGACGAGAGCCTGATTCCACCACGCTGCCTCACATATAGCTTGTTTTCTGTTGTGAAAGTGAGACAATAGTGGACGAGGATGGGGGGAAGTGCTCAATAGAAATGTGAAAAAAATACAGTTTCTTCGGTTTGATTATTTTGACGAGAGCCTGATTCCACCACGCTGCCTCACATATAGCTTGTTTTCTGTTGTGAAAGTGAGACAATAGTGGACGAGGATGGGGGGAAGTGCTCAATAGAAATGTGAAAAAAATACAGTTTCTTCGGTTTGATTATTTTGACGAGAGCCTGATTCCACCACGCTGCCTCACATATAGGCCTATCACAAAGACATCAGACAATCAAGTCACTGCCCCATTTATTCAACATCTTTTAAAACACTCTGTCCATGACGAAAAATCCATTTTCACAAGCCATTTACTTTATCACACTTTAAAAATCAGCCACAAAAACTTTAAAACGTGCCTCTTGTACACATCACCTGAGGGAAAAGAATCACCTTCACAAACATAATCTCAGTCTCATCAGAAAAAAACAACCTCAAAAGAAAACTGATATTTCACTCATAGCAACATCATCAAGTTCACACACACACACATACACACACACACGCACAAACAAACACACACACACACACACACACACACACACACACCACACCCACCCACACCCACCCACACACACACATACACACACACACACCCACACCCACACACACAAAAGATTCGCACACATACATACTGAAGAAGCAAGGCCTGACCTGGCCAAGCACTGACAACACATTTTCTCTTCACTTTTTCAACCTATAACAAACACCACAACACTGCTATGGTCCATGCAGCGACTTTCCCGAGACACAAAATGGGGAATCGCCGTCCAAGCTCAATTTCTCTTGCACCGGCATGACAGTAAGTCCCCCACTGAGGTCAATGGTCTTTCCTTCCTTGTCCTGGGGAGGAAATAAAAATGCACATTTTTTCTCTGTTTCACCTTGTCCGTAATGTCATGTTATAAATCATTGTGGGTCAAAGACAGAGAAAAAAGTTGACCAGACCATCAATGATTTATTTATAGAGGCACCAGCCATCCATGTCCAGGTGCTGTTTTAGCCTCTTTTTCCTGTATTGGGATTAATAATATCTTTTTGCCAATTTATTGGTTGAAAAAAGTTGAAATAACAATAAAAGTGTAATGTTCATCATTATGTAGATCTCTATAAATATACATAAACATAGAGTAATGATAGTAGTAAATGCAGGCCAGACTAGTACTTCCTTGATTATAGTATATAATATAAAGTAGAAATACTTTGAAGCAGAATCAGGAGAGGTATACAATAACTCCAATAATATCCTTGGAACTTCCTCTTAGCCTTTATCACACACACACACACACCCCACACACACACACAACAAGAACAGACACACTCACACACACACACACACACACACACACACACACACACACACACACACAACAATAACAGACACACTTACACACACACAAACATATAAAAGATACACTTTCTATCTCCATTATTTGTTCTGACTTGTACTTATTTGTGGAGATTATGAGGCTTCAAACATTTGTTTATCAAAAACATATTATTTCTCAGTTACTATTTGCTAGCACAAAAAATAAAATAAAAGAATTATTGCTTACAGCTTTATAGTCCAAGAGCATCTCTTTGAAAGCCATGAAGTCACTGAATGTCAAAAGAATCTCAAATATTTCTCCTTCCAGTTCTTTTCGCCTTTCTCTGAAATAGCACAAAATGAAGGAAGAAATTAAGATTCTCATAACACACAAAATGATGTGTACTATGCAAAAATCACTTAACTCTGTGGTGTATTTGGTTGTTTTTGGTTGTGGCAGGGGGTTAGGCCTAGCCTATTGTATTGTTTGGCTGAAAGTGTGAGAGTGAGTAAAGTGTGAGTCTGTGTTCAATTGTATTGTTTGCAAGTTGATAAAAGTCTGAGTTACTACTGGTGGGACTTTTAGAGGAGAGAGTTGTATCAAGGCAGAGGAGGCCTGCTGAAAGTATAGGTTGTGAAAAAGGCTAGTTAGAGCCTCGGTTCAGTTGTGCGTCAAGTGTGAGATTCCAATCCAACGCATCGGGGCCCCAAAGCTGCGGAAGGAATCACAACACAGAGCAGAGGAACAGGTTTGGCTAATTCCTGTTATAGTAGCATGTGACAGAAGGTTAGTAGTGTAAAATCTTTGTTTTATATTCCAAGTAACAACAAACTCTTTATCTCCGAGGGGGGGTAAACTCACTACGATTGGACACTTTTTTGGTGCTAAATCTAAAAATGACAAAAGCGTAATTAAATGGGTCATTAAATCGAAACTAGCAAACCTATTTGGATAGTTCTTCATCTAATGAATGAACTTCAAGTAAAAGACACCTGTTTTCGGCAATTGCCGAAAAGTAATTAGATGTCGAAGTTGTCGTAAAGGAATGTGCCAGAGCCGCCCCCTGTCAGAAGCACACCGGCACAGCAGTTCCGACCGCGAGCTGCTGGGAGCGGCTTGCCGGAGATAAAGAGTTAAACCAAACAAATGTAACAGTATTTAGCTGTCCGAAAAAACAGCTCAGAGTACAGTATTTTTACCCAAGTCCAAGTAATTGTAAAATGTGTCACAACCTGGTGAAATCAGGTGCTCGTCAATTTTCGGGCGTATGGCGTTATAGGTATCACCTTAAAGCCTGTCCATTTGCCTTGCTTTTGATGAAAAAAATATCCCATTATCTTGGATACAAGTCAAGATATTTGCGAGTGAAGGAGGTGGGGTTGCCTGGTTTCAGAGATGAAATTAGCGAGAAAATGGCTGCCAAAGTTTAGCTATTTCCTTAGCTTGAGAGTCCGTAGAAACTTATTGTTTACATCTTTAGTGCCTTTAATCAAACTTTTTCAGCAAAATCCACACGAAAATGAGTTCTTTTATGGGCATGAAAGGTGTGGAGCCAAAAAACAAAAATTCAATAAAATTCCCAAACCAGTGGAAAATAAATGTCATTATTTTGACGAGCGCCTGATTTCACCACGCTGCCTCACAACTACTCGAGCAAGTCCCTGAGTACTTGATTCCTTGATTCCTGAGCACAGGCTCTGTGTGCTATTTGCTGATGCCAAAAGCTTATTTTACACACTCCCCCCCCTTCCCCCCCCCCCCCACCACCACTTGTCCTTTCCTTGTCTCCGCACTTCTAGTGAAATATTATGTACACACATGTATGCACAAAAAAATTCCAAGAGATAGGCACAGAGAGAGAGAAAAAGGCAGACAGACAGACAGACAGACAGACAGACAGACCGATACAGAGAGGGAAAACAGACAAAATGAAAGGCGCAAATACAATGTACTTGATGAAAGGAGAGGGTAAGGAAGCGAATCTCAAACAAGTTACGCTTATATATCACTCTAAGCATTTTTTTTGTGACATCACATAATATGATGCGGGGGCTCGGGTGGTCTAGAGGTTAAGGTGTTCGCCTCTCATTCAATAGGTCCTGGGTTCGAATACCGATAGCGACGGAAAAATTTTCTTATTAAAAATGTTCAAAGTTCACATCCTTTCCTGCCCACTTACAATGTTCTGTGGTCTGCTTTCATCTCCTCCACTTTCTGCCCCAACCACCCCCCCCCCCCCCGGCCGCCTCCATCTGGGCTCCTGACTCTTTCAGCAGCCTTTCTACCACTCTCCTTTAGCTCCTTCTTACTGCTGTCTTTCAGTCACACCCCTGATCTTCTGGTAGGAAAGATCTACACTTAAATCTCTAGCCTTCTCGGACAAGGACGAAAAATCTCAGAGGTACCACGTGCAAGTTGCGCACGTTAAAGACCCCTGGTGGTCTAAAATCGATGTGAGTAGGCTTCGGCCGCCATCCGGGCAAAATTCAAAATTTCCTATTAACTGAAAATGCTAAACGTGTCCCACGTGCCCTTATGACCTTCTGGAGTTGCGAGACCCGTAAAAACACTTATTCCCCCCCCCCCTAAAAAAAAACACCCCCAAAAATACATAATATGGTGTGTATGTGTATGTATGTGTGTGTGCGTGTGTATGTGTGTGTGTTTGTGTCTGTGTGTGTGTGCGAGAGTGAGAGAGAGAGAGAGAGAGAGAGAGAAAGAGAGAGACAGGGAGGGGGACTTCTTTTGTGTGTGTAAAACGGTACACAAAATGTGTGAGAAATACAAAGAACTGCAGTGGCTGAAGATAGTTTCAATACAATGAGCCAAATCCTGAAATATAGAAACATCTCAAAGACAACCAAGATAATAATTCTTAAACATAAGACGTATGGTCAGCCCTTCCTTGCAGCTGTGAATGCTAGACAATCACGAAAGACACTCAAAATTAAAGCAACAGAAAAGTGGTCTCTTAGGAGACTGTAAAGAATTTCTTGGAAGGAAAAGAAATCAAATGGGGTAGTACTTGACAAAGCCAACGTGGGCCGTTCACTGGATTCAAACCCAGGATGGATATATTTTTTTTTTCTTAAAGTAGAGGTTTTGCGGCGCTCGCAACTGCATAAGGTCATATGAGCGCCAAGGGGTGGATGTCAACGGAGAAGTCCTTACAGGGAATCAGACTTACACTGCTCACCTCTCTAGCTTCAACAGCACAAAATCTGCTTCAACTATCAAGGCACTCCGGAAATAGCAGGTCACAAGAGTGTGCCAAACACACAAAAGAAGTAGAGGAAAATGACGATAGTAAGGATTAGGAAAGAATTCCTAGTTGTAGTTCAGGCACAGTTATGAGCATGACATAGTTGGATCAGCCCAGTTACAATTCTACTGTGCATTAGAACGAGAAAAGTCCCCCCTTTGGGAATGTCCTAAAGACACTTGAGTCAGTGGCACCGCCCCGGGGGAGGGGGGGGGGTGGGAGGGTGGAGGATGGATATACCACAATCTAGGGCCACCAACAGTGTTCAAAGTGCACACTACAAAATACAACCAAAGTAAAACTGAAGAAGAAAAAAAAGACAACTTTATCAGTACCTGAACAGAACAAGAGGAATTTTAAAAATACTACGTGTAGAACATAGACTGTCAACTTACTGAAGCTGTTTTGAAAATTCTGGCATTGAGAAGTCTGGTATTCTTTTCTTGAGCTCTGAATCCAAGTACGTTTCTATTAAAGATATCTGTAAATACAAATGTCAACAAATAAATACAACGATTTTGTGGAGTTATACATGCATACAAAATAAATTGTTTTCAAGTTTTGGGTATTTTAGTCCGTAATTTCGATTCAGTTCGTGTAAAACAACAATAACAAAAATGAGAAGAAAAGAAGACTTAATTGACTGATCTAAAGAGAAAGAGAAATGAAAACACAACACAAACATTTAAAAAAAGTAAAAATACCCTCTATTTAATGAACAATTTAGCGTACTCAAACAAACGAGTGCGCGAAACACAAGTTGTTTACATTCGCAAAAGTTCACTGCACGGTTGGTTAACTTGAGAAGAAATTTGTTCACTTCTAGCTATGCTTCAACCTCAGGGACATACTCACATATTCTCTATGTATGTCTGTGTAGCAAAATTTGTTCACTTATTTATAGCTATGCTTCGACCTCAGGGACATACTCACATATTCTTTATGTATGTCTGTGTAGCAAAATTTGTTCTCTTCTGTGTCCTCAAACTCTGTGTAGTACTTTTCCAGAAATCCATTCTGTGTGCTTTGAAATGATTCTTCTGTAACGAAAAAGTCGGATGAAAACTATAGACATGCAAGTGAATCCAAGAGGGGATCGCTAGAAAGTGAAAATTTATCCTGAACAATCAGACAAATAACGAATACTGTCCACTCTTCATGAAGTGGACAGCAGAATTCATGACAGATAAAACAGCACTGAAGGATGTGATCTCCAACATAATTTATTGGTGCCCTGTCAAAAAAGCTGCACCCACTCAGTGAGTGTAGTTATGCCCATCAAATTAAAATAAACATTAAACAGTCTTACTACAAGATTACATGGTAAATGTACAAAACTTCTGTGGCCCTGTTGAAATTAGGTTTCTTTAAAGAGAATCGATATTGATGCAATAAAATTTGCTATACGGGATAATTGTCAGAGATCATGATATAAATATAGTCAATTCCATAAATACTACAAACATACATATATTTCATCCATAGGCTATTCAAAAGGTTACATTTCATCATCATAACAAGATTTGCACCCTACTATTGGGGACAAGCTCGAGTGAAAGATTGAAATCACAGCATGCAAATTTTCTCTCTACTTTATTAAAATTAACCTATATTCATAATAGCATAATTGACTTATAATATATACTCTGCTGAGATACAAATTTATTTTTTTAAATTAAAACCCCCCCCAGCTAAAGCAGGGCACAGAATGTAAAGTGTAACCTACCCATTATTATGTCTTCAATGTGACCAATCACAGAGTCAAATCCTGAATCCTTTGAGGATCTGGAAGAAAGAATATGGCACAAAAACAATATTTTATAGTTCAATACCATAACGAGGATTTGCAAACTTATCATATATCATCATATCAAATGACTGTTCCACACTGGATGTTATGTGTTGTATACATAAAACATCATCAGCTTTAACTCTTTATCTGCGGCAAGCCGCTCCCAGCGAACTATTATTACTTTAACGCTCCTTGGTTTACAGAATAGATACTTTACTTTACTTTTCCGATCCAGCAGCCATTTGGGTTCTAGCCCTTCGGTCTGTCGATATGGCAAAGAATTGACAGGTTTTAATCAGCTGTGCTTTGTCGCTGTATAGAGTGTTTCCGATGTCTGGGGAGGCAGGTAGGTAGGTGCTACGCAGATCACAAAGTGCTGGGCAGTTAAAGAGGTGGTGTGGTACTGTTTCATCCTGGCAGTCGCACAACGGGCAATCGGGTGGGGTATCCTTGCGGATCCTATTAAGGTAGAAATTTAGTGGTATGTGTTGTGTTTGCAGGCGAAATATCGTGACTTGTTCTCTTCTACTCAGGGAATTTATTGCATCTTTAGAGTTGGGGGCTGTCATGTGTGCAAATACAGTTCTTCCAGTTTTGCCCATTGCCCGTCCATTGAGCCACTGTTCCCTGGTGTTGCATTTGATGATGTTCTTGGCTGTCTGTTGTGATACTGGGTTGTGTGGTTGTGTTTGTGTTGCTCCCTTCTTGGCAAGGGTGTCTGCTCTGTCGTTTCCTGGGATGTTGCTGTGGCCAGGTATCCACTGTAGTGTCAGGTCCACGGCATAGGTCTGTATGAATGTATTGATTGTTTGAGCCACGGATAGGCAGGCTGGGCTTTCGAAATTCATGTTTTCCAAGGCTTGGAGTACTGACTTTCCGTCTGTGATGATTATAGTGTTCTTGATTTTGTTTGGATGTATTATGAAAATGTTGGTCAGGTGGAGGATTGCTGCTTCAATGGCGATTGCCTCAGCCTCGTAATTTGTACAAGAAGTACCACATGCGTCAAATAGCTCTTCAACAGAATAGATAAAGGGTGTACCATGCAGCAAATACAAGTTCAATCTCTTGAAATTGTACTCAACAGGGAGCAGTCAAATCTGGGGATGAGCCAGTGGAACTGGCGCAACGCAGCATGATTTATTACCCTCCTGCAGCGTCAAAGTAGTCAGACAAGTTACAACCAAGTGTGCCTCTTGGCTGTCCCCGTCAGAATATGCGATTGTGCAGCTGCAGTGTGGCCGCGTTTTTTTGCATAATTTTGCAACATTTGCATAATTTTGGATTCCCCGCGTTTTTTTCACATTTTTAAAATAAAATTTTTCACCAAACAATTAAACACCTCGCAATGTGACTAAAGGGAAGTAATCACAGTATTAAGTCTCATTTATTTAAGTGACAAGTTGGTTATTTCCCTCCATAGGGATTTTCGTTCCTTGAGCATTTTCATTTTTTCAACCCATCAAAAGTTGTTATCATGTCTGCTGATGTTTCATGTTTGCCAGGTGTCCCTGGTTTTGGTGATATGCTAGCATCAGAGGTCCAGATGTCTTTTAAAAAAAATATTTTTCTTTCCTCTATACAGCTGAAAGTTACAGAGATTATATTCTTTGGTGGTTGTTTTTTTTGACTGATGTGTACCTTTCCAAATACACAAAAACTACTGATACTGATATGTTTTGTTTTCAATTCTTTTGCACATAGATCTAAAACATGAAAATTCTTGTTGAAAAAGTGCAAAACTTGTCGTGAATGGCGTTACAGTAACTTGCATAATTTTCGCATAATTTTGCATTTGTCTTGCATAATTTAGCCATATAACTTTGCATAATTCTGCGAGGACAGCCTTGAAGAGTGAAATTGTTGCACCGTGATTGTCTGACTGGCCCCAAAGACTAACATTTACCAATATCCCCATGACAAAGACTCAACTCACATTTCGGAATAATTCTGAAGAAATAAATAATTCATTATGATGTTTATTTCTGAATCTGTGTTGTACTAGCACTTTAAATGTCATGGGAACCCTTGACCTTTCACATATATTTTTGTGTTGGTTAGTTCGCCTTCAAAACTGTCATATATCATCATCATCATCCAGTGCCAGATCTGCGACAGACATCGGTGATCATGGTTCTCCATTCATTCCTTTGCTCGGATGCTCTCAAAAAAGCTACGTTTCCCTGATCTTTCCCTGTTACCCATTTGTTTAGGTTCCCTAAGTATGTTGTTCTGGACCTACCCCTGCCTCATTTGCCATCAATTTTGCCAGTGAGAGCTAGATGTTCAAGACCCTTATGTCTATTCAGGTGTCCCAAAAACTGCATTTGTCGTTTCCTGATTGCTATTAACTGTTGTTACTTGGAACATAAAACAAAGGTTTAACACTACTAACCTTCTGTCTGCATGCTACTATAACAGGAGTTAGCCAAACCTGTTCCTCTCTCTGTTGTGATCCTTTCCGCAGCTTTGGGGCCCCGATGTGTTGGAATCTCACACGTTACACACAAATGAACCGAGGCTCTAACTAGCCTTTTTCACCACCTATACTCTCAGCAGGCATCCTCTGCCTTGATACAACTCTCTCCTCTAAAACTCCCACCAGTAGTAACTCAGACTGTTTTTATAAACTTGCAAACAATACAATTGAACAGAGACTTACACTTCACTCACTCTCACACTTTCAGCCAAACAATACAATAGGCTAGGCCTAACCCCCTGCCACAACCAAAAACAACCAAATAGACCACATTTACATTGAGCGTCCCACGTTGGCTTCATAAAGCGCTACCTCATTTGATTTCTTTTCCTTGCACGATACTCTTAGCAGTCTCCTAACAAACCACATTTCTGCTGCTTCTATTTTGGTGTTCATTGAGATGTTTCTATTTTTCAGGATTGGGCTCATTTTATTGAAACTAGCCTTAGCCATTGTAATTTTCCTTTTTAATAATAATTGTCACGTAATAATCCCCTAATTTACCCTAGAGTGTATTCTCTATGGGACGAACTTTTATGCTTTAGCTAAATAAAGATATTGCAACCACTTACGCTCCCATGGCCAAATCTTCTTCCTCAAAATGGTCTCCATGTGAAAAATCCATGTCTTCTATACCATCATCATTACTATCTGTAGAAAGAAAAAAGAAGAAAGAGAAAATAATCTAAGTCACACATACTGAGTGCTCGGTCAATTATTATCTAATTATCCCATAAAAAGATGAGAAAGTAGTCTATTCAAGCCTTGACGCCATGTATTCACAAAGCCAAAAATACTAACAACAAGACTATTTTGGAGGCCAGCAATTCAGTCTACGATTCTCTACTACCAGGATATTGCACTTCCTCTTTGGGCTTTTGTCAGCGCCGTTGCGGGCTTGCTTTGCCGCGTAGCGCGTAACGGGCTACATCACTAGACGACACGAGGTTTGTTTCAGACCCATGCAGGACCTCGAACAAGATGCTCCAGCGAGTCCCATCAGGTCCCCACCTGTACATACACAACAGTCGTCAACTCCCCAAGCTGCCACCCGCACTAGCAGCTTTGGGAGAACCATCAAGCCACACCAGAGGCTTGATTTATAGAATACTCAAGAGAATAAAAGGACACCCCACAGGAGCTGAGATTGTCCTCGAACATTTATTTTTATTTCTAAGTTTATTCGTCGTTTCAAGTTAAATACAAAAAAGACAGTTTGTGAAACGTACAAAGCTGTGTATAAACGTTTCTTACTTCAAGGGGAGAGATGTAGTATGTAGCGTTAGCCTATGTGTTGGCTTTCTTAATAACAACCTGGCAACTTCTGGCTCGTGGAGTTGGATTGCGTATAGGAACTTAGCAGACACTTCATGAACGACACGCGGAGTGGAGGTAAATACAACAGACATTAAACTAATTACAGAATTACCAGACAAATAATGACTTGTGCTATGAGAATAAATTTCTTTGTCCAACTTAAGAAGTGAATGTATGGTAGCAACACAAAGCAGTCTTTCTTTACAATTTCTTTAAGACTTGATGTTACAATCTTATATAATTATAACAATGTCTGGCAGATTCATACTGTCCTTGTCTCTTCTTACAGATATCAAACAACAACTAGTTGTTTCCCCATCATCTGGGTCCTTGAAATACGACAACTGGTGCTGTGTAAAGAGAGTCACATTACCTCTCGAGAGGGAGCGTTTTCGATATTATTGTCAGATTGTTACATTTCTTACATGAAAGTTCGATTCTGACTGCAATTCTCTGACCAAATTCAAAATGACATTATAATATTATGGATCCCTGTAGTCATGCTGGGCGAATTGTGAGTTAGAGAAAGTAAAAATGAACTCACTTCCGAAGACGATATATCAAAGAAATCTCATGGAGACCAAACCTTGATTCCGAATAAAATAGTTGAAAACATGTGCTTGAACAGACATCTGATTAGGACATTGGCGACAGTGAGGTATAATATTTAATATTTTGGCCTGCTTCAAGCATTCCACCCCTTGAGATGAAGGAAAACGAAGCGCGCTTGCAGAATTAAAGCTGAGATATGGGATATGAAAAATTGGATCCGCTACATAGGAAGCAAGGAGTGAGAGATGGGAAACAGGTGGGATTCGGAAGATGGGACTGGTCATATGTGTACAAAAATGACTCATGTAGGCCTAGCGCTGGGTCAGCCTGAAAACAGCGACGCAGAGAAAAAAATGATAGGAAACAATAATTATTATATTATAATAACAACCCCTCTCTTTCTTCTCCCCCTTTTCTCTCTCTCCCTCCCTCTCTCTTTCTCCACTCTTCTCTCTCTCACCTTCTTTCTCCACCCCCCTTCTCTCTCTCTCTCTCTTTCTCTCTCTCTCGCTCTCTCTCCCTCCCCCTTTTATGTTTTTTTTATGTTTTCCCCCCCTCTCTCTCTCTCCCTGCCCGCAGACAAAATTGCACCTGGTCAACTCAAAGAGCGCTGGAACGTTTGTTTACACTCGTATCACGGGCCGTCACGTGCTAGCACATTAAGGGCATACTACCCAAGTCTCGCGGGGACGTGAGATTGGGCAATTGAACAAGATGATCCTATAATATATATATAAATGGCCTTTGTTCATGTTTCAAAGAAGTGTCCGTTTTCATCTTACTCAACTCAGACTCAGCTAGATCTACTTCAGCAGACCAAAGATAACCCATTTCAAGAACTTGATCAAAAGGAAAATCAAAGAGAAGTAAGCTCTTAACGTTGACATATGAATGTGTACACATCGCCTTTTTATTTTCTTCTTTTCTGTAATATAGATCTAACCACATGTACACAATGCATTTATTAAAAACAACTAGATCTAGATCTAGAGTCGAGATCTAGATTCTAGGCTAATTAATTAACTAGGCCTATTATTATAAGGTCAATTCTAATTCAGACGATCCGATAGCGTGCCTGGTAACCGGTGTACTCGGCGCAGTCTCTGTCGATTCTCGAGTAGACAATGACTCAAAATTGAGATTTACCCTTTGGAGCCATTTTATTACATAAAACCCCACATTTATATCAACAGTATTAAAATCATTTGTCCACAGCTGAACACAAAATCGATCTTACCCATCGCGGACTGGAGATGGTTGTTACCGTTCGACGACATGATGCTAATAAACCGGAAGTGAAACTCACATTCCTGACTTTTGACCTGAAATCGACAGCGATAAATTTTTAGCTTTTGGTTTTAATCATGTGAAATGTCATTGCTTTATATTAGCCTACTGCTTTTGAAAACTTGTAAATAAAAAGCAAAATTTCTTAGGGTAACAAAAATAATAACACTCAGAACTAAAAGGGATTAAACAATTATATACATATATACAATATTTTCACCATTGAAGTAGGAAGCGTCGGTGGTGTAAAGGTTAGCATTGTTGCCTTCCAAGCAATAGATCCGGGTTCGATTCCCGGCTGACGCATAATTTTTTTAAAATCATCATCCTTTATTTTTTTACTTTTTTTTTTCTCTCCTATCAATAAATTGACACAATACTAACAGCGTTGCACAAGATAAAATGTACCTGTTGGTAAGAAAATCCGGGTTAAAAATACGGTGGTTTCTTGAAGCCTATGCATAATAGGGCCTTTAAACTCTATATATGGGGCCTATACTATATAATACAAAAAGTAATAGACTCTAGGGTCGGATACAGTGATGTTGATGCTCACTCTGTGGTCTTTGAATAAGCGAAGATTTTGGGAGAGACACGGGTGAGTATAGAGAGGCCTAGGCTCTAGGTATAGTAGGCCCTTGATATCATACTGTTTGCTTATCTTTTGCCAGATGTAGAGAAACGTGAGAGAGAGGTGAGCAGAGTAAGCCTGATTCCCCGTTTGGACTTCTCTGCTGACACCCACCCCTCGGCGCTCATATTATGACCTTATGATAAGTCAGGCTTTTATGCAGTTGCAAGCGCCGTAAAACCTTACTAAAACAAAAACAGGAAGAGTGGAAAAAAATTGAAACGGAAGACCTGTAGGGTTTAGACTTCTTTCGGTACCTTTGAAGGATCACAGGCGTCGGTGGTGTAAAGGTTAGCATTGTTGCCTTCCAAGCAATAGATCCGGGTTCGATTCCCGGCTGACGCATTTTTTTTCTCATTTTAAATCGTTTTCCTTTCTTCTTAAATCATTTTCCTTTCTCTTTAAATCTTTTTCCATTCTTTTAAATTCATTTTCCTGAAACAATTAATTGTTGTTGGACTGTAAACTAACTAATTATAACACTCTCTCTCTCTTTCTCTCTCTCTCTCTCTCTCTCTCTCTCTCTCTCTCTCTCTCTCTCTCTCTCAAGAAAGGAAATGAGTTTGGAAGTTTTGTTTTGTGCTTGTGCCTTAACATTTTCTTGTTGTAAATTTTTAAAAAGTTTCATCAGAGAGTTCCATGTTGGCAAGATCTGTTGTGATGGTTTAGTGAAGGCCTTCCACAGAATTCTACACTTAGAATTCTGTGAGGCCTTCATAATTCGGACACCGTTCCTTTTCTGCTGCTATCCTGTTCGTCTTTCTGCCACATCGCTAGATCTACTTCAGAATTACAAAGCTCTAGATCTAGATCTATCTACGATCAATACCCTTTTTTTTTCATAAAATATCAAGCTTTTTCTAATGCAATTCTTTGAATATCTTGATGAGGACTCGGAATAATCTTACGGTTCTTTCGGTTTTTATAGAGCAGATAGATCTAGAGCATTTGTGAGGCAGCGCGGTGGAATCAGGCTCTCGTCAATTTTTGGGCATGTAGGGTTAATTGTATCATCTTAAAGCCTTTTCACCTGTCTTTATTTGAAGGGGGAAAATATCCATTAATCTTGAATACAAGTCGAGATATTTGCGAATGAAGGAGGTGGGTGGTCGGTCACCTGTTTTCAGAGGTAAAATTAGTGAGAAAAAAGCTGCCAAAGATTAGTTATTTCCTTAGCTTAAGAGTCCGTGGTAACTGAAAAATGTATATTTTTGGTGCCTTTAATCAACGTTTTAAAGAAAAATCCACACAGAAATGAGTTCTTTAATGGGCATGAAAGGTGTTGAGCCAAAAAACAAAATTTTGATAAAAATTTACAAACCTGCAGAAAAATGCCAGTTTTTTCACTTTGATTATTTTGACGAGATCAGAGCCTGATTCCACCTCGCTGCTTCACATTTATTGCTTTCTGACCTCATGGTCTTAGTAACTCAAAACGGCTTAAAATATCCGATAGAACTTTGTAAATCTGAGGTAACAACTATAGCCAATCAGCTGGGGGGGGGGTCCCCTGTCAACAACAGAGTGAGTTTTCTTGAGTTAAATAGTGGATGTGATTTTTGGACAGGAGGGTAGATTGTGTAGGAGTTAACTTGTGTGTGAGAGAGCATACTGTATAATGTGTGAGACTCGAGAGCATGTTTAAGTGTCTGTAAATGAAAAATAGGCTTATAATACAAGAGTTGCCTACAGTAAAAACCGGCTCTTATTGACACCTGCTTTAATGCAACCACCTGTACCATGGCTACTACCCCACTCCCCAATCACCCCTGGCGAAAGTTATTAGTTTTATGTTGTGCAGCAGCCAAGTGGGAAGTGGGTGCTGTGTACCATGTGCAGTAATCACCTACCCCTGTCGACCAAATCGTAGGCGGTTTGCGGGGCAAATGTATGTTAGTAAGGATTGTATTTGGATGGTTTAAAAGGAATACAATATATTCCTATATTATAATATGCGTTCATTTTTATGCATTGACAAAACCTGGCGGTAAAAGGAGGTAGTGGTACAACGGGGCGAGAGTGGAAAAGGGGAGGGGGGGGGGGGTGTATACGAGGTTTGTAGTAAATGTGTTGGGTTATCCGTTGTCAAAAGCACTCAATATATTTTCTCTTGGACGGAATATTTATCATCAAATTTTGTCTCACTCTATAGACTGGTGGACACTGTAGAATCTTGTTAAAATACACAAGGTACAGCCCAGGAGACGTGTTGATATCCATTACCGATTATTCTATTTTGGGCTATTTTAGTCCAAAATCATCTATTTAATCGAATAGAAACCGTTGCAAGTGTCTAAAACAGCTATAAGACGCTCAAGAACTAAATAAAACGCACTTTTTTGCATTGGAATAGAG